CTTTTTCAAAAGACTTCACATTGACAGTTGTTGAACACAAAATGAACGGGTTGATTCCTGTCATTCTTGGCACAGGGAACGTTTGCTTTTGTAATAGCTTCAAGGGCATTCTTTGGGGGCCTCCCTAGTGAGTGTGTGATGAGGGCTACAATGTTCTTCTCCATGTCTTTGCCAAATAAAGACAAAACTGCATCGAAGATGTATTTCTGTCTGTCACAGAGTCGATTCTCAGTTGCCTTCACCACTAAACCCACAGCATCAAGTTGATGAATCCCATCTGTAGTCCTAAACAACTCCAACAGTTTTCCAGAGATCAGTTTGTCTTCTTGGATCCCTCTGGTGTCTCCGTACCCAGGAGTATCAATGATGGTGAGAGAGTAGGGGACTCTCAGGCCCTCACACCCGAAGACTTCATATACAGTGACAGCTGTAGTTTGCCTTTCAGTCTGACTTCTTTTTTCCTCTTCAACGATCTCAAACCAGACGTTATCCTTCCACTCTACACCCAGGACATAATTGACCATGGCATTGATCAGAGTTGACTTCCCTGTCCCTGTCTCTCCCACTATCAGAATGGTTTTGTTGATCTTACAGTGATCTCTATCTCCAAAGGTACATCTTCTGAGCATGTCTTCATCATCTAGATTCTGTTTCTTTGTTACCAGCTGATACCTTGCAGGAGGTCCTTGATTGATACAGGTACTTATTGCAATGGTGTCTTGTATTTTTGATGACGTGTCCCTAAAATATATGAACATGTGTTATACTCTTATGCCCTATGCATTTCATTATACATTAAATTGTACCTTGACAATAAACATCCTCTTACTTTACAATATGAATGATGTCCACAACCTTAGGGACACAAATGTCTAAGTTGGTGCTTAGCCCTCCGATAATGTTTCCCCAGGATTGTTGTTATCTTCATGGCATGGATCAACTAGTTCATGTTTATCATGAATAATGTCATTTATTTAATGGCCATTGTGGTCATATTCTTTGCTCTAAGCCAGTCCCACTCTGTCTATATGAGCCGTCATTTATTTTTATTTTACTCAGAGATCTTAAGGGTGGTTGATATGACGACTGTTTGATACAAGATTATTAATGTTTGTAAACTCCTGAGCTGCATGTGGGAGAGAGGACAAGGACACGCCATGTGTTATAGAGGTCACTGGTGAGTGACAGAGTGTCGGTGTGCCAAGATAGATTGGGGGCCACTTGTGATAATCTTAGAAGGAGTACATGAGGGACTGGCCTGCCTAGGGTGCCACACGATATGTATGGGGATGCTATTGTAGTAGATGAGTGACACTCAATAATGGTTGGCAACTGTGTGGGACAGAAGTAGCTCGGAAGGGCATTATATCAACTGAGAGACTTTCTATGGAAGTCATTCATATGACATTTTACATTACATTTTACATATTTAGCAGACGCTCTTATCCAGAGCGACTTACAGTTAGTGCATACATTATTTATTTTTCATACCCCCTGTGGGAATCGAACCCACAACCCTGGCGTTGCAAACGCCATGCTCTATCAACTGAGCTACATCCCTGCCGGCCATTCCCTCCCCTAACCTGGACGACGCTGGGCCAATTGCACGCCGCCCCATGGGTCTCCCGGTCGCGGCTGGCTACGACAGAGCCTGGATTCGAACCAGGATCTCTAGTGGCACAGCTAGCACTGCGATGCAGTGCCTTAGACCACTGCGCCACTCGGACAAGAGGCTATGCACGTACCGTCTGTCATTGAATCCAGTACTGAATTAAATAATGATGAATCAACTCCCCATATGAGTGTCGACTACTCTCTTACATCCTGAAGTTCTTGATGCCAGAGAAACTCGTCATAACAGTGGTATAGGGGGTCACTCAACATCTCTACTTTTTAGGCTTTAACATAAGATAAAGTATCCTAAATCTGTTGTTCTATTTAATATAATAAAATAACACATTACATTGAAATCTATTTACATTTATGCTTCTTCCCTGCCTCTTTTCCTTGGAGTCTTGATTTGCACAGACTGGGTTACATTATTACAGTTTTACTCTGTAGAGGAATATGTTTATGTTTGACACAGAGATTTAATGGCATTCAACCTGACTGACTTGGTCAAAGGTTTGATTACTCAACCAACTCTCTCTGCCATATTAGTCCTTCATGATAATGAATGAATGTTAACTACAAAGAGATTTAATGGAAGGGTTGGCATAAGCAAACACCAGATATCCTTAGTTATTAAACATAAGGCTGTTATCCCTCTGTTATTATCTATGGTACTAAATTATGTCTGTCTTCCATCTATGCGGCAAATGTTTTTGAAGGTTAAATTGCTAGACTTCCCAGCCTCAGTGACCATTCTTGGGAGAGGTTTTAACCTGACAGTAGATTCTACATTCATACCACTAATACTGACAGTACGGCATGCCGGGCACCTTCAAGCTATATTAAGACCTTTTTGGAAGATTTTAATATTGTGGATACCTGGTGCCTTAGAAATCCTAGTACTAGGGATAATACCATCTTCTCTCCCCATCATCAGTCTTTCTCACAAATTGATTGTCTTTACTTTCCCCTGTAAATAACTTTGTGTCAACTGGGCCACCAGAGGGATATTTTCAACCTATTCCGCTTGGTCCGTCTCAAGTGTAGAGTGCCTATATTTCATGGTGCATTATTGATAAGGCTTCTAGCTACTAACATTAGACAGAATTCAAAAGGCACTTTTTCTTGCATATATGACAATATCCCATGTTTTTACTAATCTATTTCACACACGTGCTTTAACAACAAAAATAGATAAAGGAGGTCTATACAGCATTTAAGTTGATAGTACATTGTAGATAAAAAGCAGAAGAAACTTAAGGACTTGTCAGTTAGCTGTTATGTACCGTTATCATCATAGCTTCCTGGTAGCACACACTGCTGAAGCGGTTGACTCTAAAACGACAGTGCACATTGACCGTGGGTTTGGCTTGCGTCAAGCATTTTTGTTAGGAAAACACTGTTAATGGCTGGTCCTCGATGCTCGATTCAAATAATGCATACAGTATGTGACGAAGTGGATGATTATAATAATGCATATAAAACGTACATGTAAGTGTAGATTACACGTCTATGTAATATAACCTATACTAGCGACAATTATTTATGTAGCAGTACCAGTAGCCTATGTGTTGGTCTGCAAGAGGGACTCCTGCAAGAATTTTGTATTTTTTTATTTCACCTTTATTTAACCAGGTAAGCCAGTTGAGAACAGGTTCTCATTTACAACTGCGACCTTGCCAAGATAAAGCAAAGTAGTGCAATAAAATCAACACAGAGTTACATATGGGGTAAAAAACATAAAGTCAGAAATACAACAGAAAATATATATACAGTGTGTGCAAATGTAGCAAGTTATGGAGGTAAGGCAATAAATAGGCTATAGTGCAGAATAATTACAATAGTATTAACACTGGAATGCTAGATGTGCAAGAGATTATGTGCAAATAGAGATACTGGGGTGCAAAAGAGCAAAATAAATAACAATATAGGGATGAGGTAGTTGGGTGGGCTAATTTCAGATGGGCTGTGTACAGGTGCAGTGATCGGTAAGGTGCTCTGACAACTGATGCTTAAAGTTATTGAGGGAGATAAGAGTCTCCAGCTTCAGAGATTTTTGCAATTCGTTCCAGTCATTGGCAGCAGAGAACTGGAAGGAATGGCGGCCAAAGGAGGTGTTGGCTTTGGGAATGACCAGTGAGATATACCTGCTGGAGCGCAGACTACGGGTGGGTGCTGCTATGGTGACCAATGAGCTAAGATAAGGCGGGGATTTGCCTAGCAGTGATTTATAGATGGCCTGGAGCCAGTGGGTTTGATGACGAACATGTAGTGAGGACCAGCCAACAAGAGCGTACAGGTCACAGTGGTGGGTAGTGTATGGGGCTTTGGAGACAAAACGGATGGCACTGTGATAGACTACATCCAATTTGCTGAGTAGAGTGTTGGAGGCTATTTTGTAAATGACATCGCCGAAGTCAAGGATCGGTAGGATAGTCAGTTTTACGAGGGCATGTTTGGCAGCATGAGTGAAGGAGGCTTTGTTGCGAAATAGGAAGCCAATTCTAGATTTAACTTTGGATTGGAGATTCTTTATGTGAGTCTGGAAGTTGAGTTTACAGTCTAACCAGACACCTAGGTATTTGTAGTTGTCCACATACTCTAGGTCAGACCCGTCGAGAGTGGTGATTCTAGTCGGGTGGGCGGGTGCCAGCAGCGTTCGATTGAAAAGCATGCATTTAGTTTTACTAGTGTTTAAGAGCAGTTGGAGGCTACTGAAGGATTGTTGTATGGCATTGAAGCTCGTTTGGAGGTTTGTTAACACAGTGTCCAAGGAAGGGCCAGATGTATACAAAATGGTGTCGTCTGCGTAGAGGTGGATCTGAGAGAAATCTTAATTTACAAAGTTTGTGCTGCACTTCTCTTCTAAACACACTAACACAATAAATGAACAAAAATATAAACGCAACATGCAACAATTTCAACGATTTTACTGAGTTACAGTTCATATAAGGAAATCAGTCAATTGAAATGATCAATTTCACATGACTGGGAATACAGATATGCATCTGTTGGTCACAAATACCTTTAATAAATGGTAGGAGCGTGGATCAGAAAACCAGTCAGTATCTGGGGTGACCACCATTTGCCTCATGCAGCGTGACACATCTCTATGGAATGTTGTCCCACTCCTCTTCAATGGAATTTATGCACTCACTACTGTAAGTCGCTCTGGATAAGAGCGTCTACTAAATGTCAAAACATTTCTAAAAGTGACTGGATCCAATGGCGAAGCGACAAGCGACCACTATCCAAGACATGGTGTTGTTTTGCGTGTTATTCTGACGTTCATTCATGCCACAACATTATATCATATCAGTTAGCAAACTATTACAAAAATATATTGTTTGAGCTAATAAAACATACGTTTTATTGTTGTTTTGTTAATTTGCAGCTATTTCAGGCTGATTTCAGTGCTGTTGTAAGGCCAGGGGGCAGCCCTTGGTTTTCTCTGGTTGCACGTAATTGGCTGCATGTGATTGCTGTGTGCTCAGAGGGTACAGCACTTATTGGGAGTTCCAGGCAGCTGTAGACCCCTTGGCTGCTGACATAGAAGTACATTAAAAGTGCCCGCCCAAGGTCCACTGACACCCACTATGAGCCTGTGCAGTGGATGGGGCGAGCTAGAACGGTGTTTGTGACAAGGGAAGATCCCTGAAAACAGTTTTCCTAATGTTTGATATACTCAGTGTAGACCCTTTAAATATTATATTTTCTAATACAAATATCTGTCTTTTGACCATTTTGAAAAATCATATGAAACATCTCTGAATCATACTAGACACCTTAATAATGCATAACATGACTTATTAACTTTAACTTCCCTGTAAAGTCCCCCAAAAATGTTCTTCTCACTATTGTGGCCGATGGGATTAAACTGATTTTAAGTGGACTAAGGGCTGGTTTCCCTGATTCAGATTAAGCCTGAGCTATTCTTCATTGAGAATGTTTTTACTCCGGGAGTAGGCTTAATCAAGGCCCAGGAAACCATGCCCAAATATTTATAATTGTGTCCGTC